TTTATTTTCCATGGACAAGAACTACCAGTAAAACAAATAAAATCAATCCCGTTCATTCAGGCAATTCAGGCCTCAACATACTTGCATTGCTTTCCCCGCACATACCCTCTACCAGGACGACAGATTGATTTTCCACAGATATTCACAGAAATGTTTGTAGATCCCTTATGGATCACTTGTCTGACGTAATTTGAGTTTTTACAGAATTAAATAATGGGCCATTCCGTGGTATTTTTTTGCCATTATGGAAGGACATTTGACACTTCAAATGAATATATTTTAAAACAGGGGCGGATTCAGAGATATTTTCTGACAGTCTTCCAAATTATCTTTGTTTATCCATTCTTCTTTTCTGACCATCTTCCGACGGAAAAATTAGACAACTTTTAATGTAAACTTGAAAATCTGACCATCTTCTGGAAGACCTAGAAGACGGCCTAAATCGCTCCTGTAAAAAGTAAAAAAAAGTTGGAAGGCCCATTTTTTTGTATGTTTATATCTCTATATGTAAGTTATATTTAGGCAAAACATAAGGAAAAAAATCATAGTTACAAAATAATTAAAAGAAATAGTTAGCACCTCGAAAAAAAAAATAATAATTTGAAAATTTTGCATATAAAAAAATCAAGTAGGCGTCTCGGAAGGACGCGTCTCAGAAGGATATTTTGTCCACTGCTAAATAACATGTCAAACAAAGCTCAATAATTATATATAATGATATATTTACCAAGATAAATTTGATAAATAATATCCAACATCACAAAAGACATTAAGTGGTGATGATAATATTTTATTTTCAAGCATTACTAAAAAAAAATATGCCATCGTAATTACTAAGAAGACAGGAAAATGAATGTACTTTTGCAAATGTCACACAAACCAGCTCAAAGTGATGTTAAAATATTGCTGTCATTTATGTTTTTAAATGTCAGTATAAAACTAATACTAACAGCTAATTATCTACCAAAATTTCAAAATGCAAAAAATTCTTAAAAGATTATTTATATTGTATACATGTACGCTAACTACTAATAGAAATTCACCAACGCTACTGTACCTATCAGGCCTTAAAGCATGTTTACAACTATCAAAATATTAGTAGTAATTATCATTAACTGGTATTCAAGTTCATTATACTTTCAATGTAATTAAATACAACAGAATGTCTGTTTCACTTTTGTTTCACTTAATGTTCACTTACAAATGTCATTTACTCAACCTCTAGAGCATGTGGAAAGATGTACCTGCTACACTGATCAATAGCAGGAAATGGCAAGCATCTTAAAACCTGACTAGAAGAAACCCAAGATCTATCCTCCTTTGGGGGGAAAGCTAAAGAGACGTTTTGAAGAGTCCTTAGCTCTTAGAAAAGTCACTTCTAGATCTTCCCCATCTGTACTAATAACATGTCCAAGACTTGTGATCACTCTGAGCGCAGCCGAGAATTAATTACAGCTTTGGAAGTAACTGAAGTGCATTGTTTTCCTTGAAATTTCCTCTTTGCCACAAAGAGGACAGACACTGTTTTGTTTTGTTTTGTTTCATAGCCACATCATAGAATTCTTGTGCATTGTTAACAACTGCCTCTCCTTACTTAGCAATACTTCCCCATACTTAGCAATACTTAGCAATACCCTTACTTAGCAATACTTCCCATACTAAGCAATGGTTAATGAATTCATTTCTACATTCAAAGTTATTCCCTGTTTTTATTTTCTAAAAAGTTTGATTTTTTGTCATAATCTTTTAAGAGATTATTAAAGAGTATTAACCCATTACAGTGACGTCATATTTGCTCCGTAACACTTGTCCAGCGGCCATTCTGGAGGGAAAGAACGACAGGGAATAGTAGCGTAAATATAGGTGAACCAAATAAAATGAAATAATCTTCATATCGTGATCAAGTTCACCAAAAGGAAAATAGTATATACATGTGAAAACTTCAGCTGATCAGCGTGATCGACCCATATAAACTCAAGACAGTCCAAAGACGTGAAATCCTGACCTACCCCTGTATCCCAACATCGTGGAATGTTGTCAGAAGCTAGTTCAGTTATCTTGTACTTCATTTTTCTTGTTCATTGGGTAATAACAGTTATAGTTTTAGAGAGTTTACTGTGTAATCATAAGTTCAACCTTTCATAGAAGCAACTTTTTACATGAAGGATAGATATAAGGAGAAATTTGAGCTGACTATCAGGATCAACCCTTACGGACTCAAAGAAGACAGTATGCAGGGTTGTGACAAGAAATATTGCTGTCAGATATGATTTAACTGTACATCATGAAGCTGTCAGAAATTATTTCAGCATTCTTGTGCTTCATTTTGGTTCATTAGGAAGTATTTGTAACATGACTGTTGTTTGAGAGTTCAACATTTTACCATGAATTCAACCATTCACAGTAGCAACATTGTTAGCATTTTATTATTAGTCCAGACCTTCACAGAAGCAATGTAATTTTCAAACTTATGACATTCAATGTAACATAACAACAAGTCAGTTCATGAATTGATCTTTATTTGATTGAAAATATAGGAAAATGCACATTTTGTATGGATAAAAGTAAACATAAAATGCAAAACATTGTTGCACAATTCAATGACAGATTATCAGGGTCCCTTTCCTTTTGGTTGATAACACTGACATGAAAAATATTTCCATACTTTTAATGATGCAATGCAACATGTACATGAGCATATTAAGTCGAATCAAGCCACCATAATTTGAGAAACCTGTTTAGTATATTTTTAATCTATGTCTAGAGAAATGCTTGATTGAAGACTCACAATTGATATGTGCTGTGTGGGTATGTACATATTAGGCCTTAGATGGTGTTACTAAGCAGTTTGTAATTTTATTTAGGAGAATTCCACAACTGGTGGTCACAATTTAAAAATGCACAACAGTGACAACCTACATGTACAACAGCCATCTGTTTCTGCATATCAGACCATCTGTGGGAGGTGCACCATACAAAATTTTATATTTCTTGCAAACTTTTCCATTTAGCCTTTAAACATATGAGAAAGAAAAAAGTGTTTTCATTTCTTCTTGTGCTTCTGCTCACAATTCTAAATAAATAGAAAACCTGTCCTTGTTGTATGCAAGCTATCAGGATAACAACTTTAAAACAACAAATGAACAATGAAATAAATAAACAAATCCAATTAAATAACTCCTGTCATGCACTGAATTTCACTCTCCTGATGTTCAGATCCTGTCTCCTCAGCTGGTCACAAAGATATAAGAATATTTTTTCGCTGCTTCTACCTTGTGTGCCATCTAGCTGCCTTTTGTACCTGTCACCTTTTTTTTTTTTTTGATAACCAAGATTTATTTGCACCCAATCATTCAGTGTGGCTTGGTGGGAAAATTTCAGATCAATTTCCTAAATGTAAATTAACAAAAAAAGGTAACAATAGTTATTTTTATTCATATTGTAACTTGCATCATAATACAGTAGGAAAACACAGAATTCAACATTTTTCTAATTCATTTCAGTAAGTTCATTCAATTAAATGGTACCTGAGCTAGAATATATACTTACAAAACAGATTTACTCTTAACACTACACTAAATCTAAAATCAAGCCACTAACTTCCAAATACCACCCTGAGCTTCAGAGCTGACTTGACACTAACCTTTTCACTGTAGCCTATATCTCCATCGTGTCAAGTAAGTTACTTGACATAATGAAAGTAAGTTACTTGACACGATGGAGATATGCTACAGTGAAAAGGTTAGTGTCAAGTCAGCTCTGAAGCTCAGGGTGCCAAATACACATGACACAGGTAATTGATTTAATTGGCCCAGCTGATCTGTGTACATTGTACTGTAGCCTTGACACTAATTGACAATAATGCTAACCAGGTATTAAAGAGGTAGATGACAGCAGATAAAATCCAAAGAGCACCATAACTGATAACAAATTACACCCAAGGCAATAAGTGAGTCTTCATAATGAAAGTCGAAACCCTGCCTGGGTATTTCCACACGTTTTTACAACACACTCTCCACCAAGACTTTTTGGGCACTACTAATATGCAGCGCTCATATCTTATACACCTCGATCATTGGTTTTCTACTTTTTTCTTTTATGGTAAAGGCTGCACAGCTGGGTCTTCATTCTTTGCTGTAAAATAAATTAGTTTTATCCTTTACTTGTCCGATGAGTCTTGATTCAAAGCCACTCCTCAGTCTCTCCTCCGTTTACGGTTTTCGTCCCTACACCTTGGATTGTTACCACTGCAGGCAGTCTGTGAACGCTTGTAAAGTTATTTATCTTCTCTCTATCATATACCCTGCAGTAATTCATCATTTACTCGGTTTAATATCAAAGAAAACACAGAAATTAAATGCTAAATTGTACATGTAGACATGATCATGCGCAGCAGACGATTCCGGTCTCCCTCCAGTATGGCTGCCGTTCGTTTTGATGACGAGGGCTAAAAGGGGTTAATAGCCATCTATGGAGGTCATGTGGTCTGATGTTATATGAATATATAGTATGAGTAATTAATATAAATTTATCTGCCATGTGTAAGACTTTCAAACGTATTGAGTTGAAGAAAAGCTTCAAAATTTACACCTTTGTCTGGACAAATTTATTTCACAAATTGAAATGGAAAATATATAAGTACTTGTATACAGTGCTTTTCACTACAATATCAGTAGGTTTTGCAGTAGAAGTAAATGAGTTTTGCTGCAGCTCAAGCTTTTGAGACATTTTGAGTGGGAACACAGTGATAACAGTCAGCTCAGAAGTTCTGAGGAGGCGATTTTTCTTTTGGCAAAAATTAATGTGCTTGCAGATGTCATCCATAAATTTTATCAGTTTGGCCTTAAATGGAAAGAGGAAGGTGTTGAAATTGCAATCAAAATTCATATCATGTGATTGTGCCAATGGTTTGCCTCTTATATCTTGTGAATAGTTAAGTATCACGTATATCTATAAGTAGCTGGAGATTTACCTTTCCCACCCTTTTAAAATTTTTGCAGTTATTATGAGAGAACCACTCCGATTGGTACTTAAAACTGGAGAATGCCTGGTTTTCTTGTTAATCATACATGTATTACCAGTGGAGCATGTACATTCATATGAAACTGTAAGTATCAATAACACACTTTGCATTGTTTAAAAAGTAATACACGCCACTCAGTCTATTACACCTGTACAACTTGCCAATGCTGCCAAAGGCAGTCACTTTAATATTCTGTGATGGACTGTCATTTTAGAGCTTCACAAGAAAATTTAGGTCAAGATGTCATTTATTTATAAATCATGAAAAATTATTTCATTTTCTTGCTTATTTTGAAATTACCAGTAGCTTTTTGGTTCAAACTGGAAAGAAAATATTAGGTTTCATTCACAATGGATTATCCTCAGACTAACTAGTCTGTGGAAATATGGCCGACCCCTCTTGAAAGCAATATGTCATATAGTCTCCTCAGGGTCTCCCTGCTTATCACACACACCATCCCTGCAGGGGCCTAGCTACATATTAAAGCTAAATCAAAACAGCTCCTAGCTATAGGTTTAATTCTCAGGCTCCTGTATTGATGGTGAGTGTGGTAGGCTGGGAGACCATTAGGAGATTATGTGGCATTCATATTACTTTCAACTGGGGTCGGCCATAATAGGTCTGCAGAGTAGTTAGTCTGAGGATCATCTGTTGTGAATGCAACCTTTGAGTGAATTAACCCAGTCAGTTGAAAACTTCAATGGGCAAAGTTTCCCTTTATTAGTTTCAGCTTGGGGAATCATGTGATAACAACACAAGATTGGTTGGCAGTTACAGAGCAATAAATTACTCGCACTATGCGTACACCCTCGAAGGTCAGACACATGTTTGTGATATGTGCATCCCAGGTTACAGAGTCAAGAACCATTGCACAAATTCTTCTCGTCACCATGGTCCAGATTGTAGGGTTTGCCCAGAAGGAACCTACAGTAACTGGACATGGGAGTGCCGGTGTAAAAATTGCACAGATAGGCCTTCAGAACAGCACATCCTTTATTCAAAGTGCACTTCAACACAGGATGCAGTATGGATAAGTAAGGATACCACACATACACGTACACATGCACACACAACCTACTTAATTAAGATCTATAGATAACTCAAATCTACAGGGACTCTTGATGAATGCAATCAGCTATAAACTAAATGACAAGTCTCCTCCATGCATTAAGTACATCACAGTATAATACTGTTGATCATAATATACAAATACTTTTGAAACAAGAGGAAGTGTGTCATTCAGTTCAGCTGATTGCACCTAGCAAGAGTCCCCGCAGAGATAGGGTGATCACATTCACCAGTGGTGTCTATGGGAATGGGTCCTCAGTTGAAACAAAAACAAAAAATACCACTTTCTCAATTTAGGCCAAGTTCTGAATATCTCTGTCCAATTTCTGAAAGACTTACATATGCATGGTAAAAATGAATAAGAAGCAAGAATCTTTAAATTCTTGACTTTCAGGTTTTACATGCTAGAAATTATAGTATTATTTGCTTGGAGTATAAAGATGCTTTGGATCATCAGTACACTGAGAAACAATATAGTTAAGGTGTTATTGTTAATCCAGTTGTTGACCACATTTGTACATCTGTAATGCAGTCCCTGAGGCATTTTTCTGCTGGTTGAAAATGCAGTGTCTGTAGAATATGGTGTGTGATGTTTGATATATATAGAGAGAGGTATGTACTCTTGGCATTTCACTTACAGCTGTGATTGAGACCTGGGGACCTTGGAGCCAATGGAGCTTGTGTAGCGTAAGTTGTAGCAGTGGTGTAAAGACAAGACAAAGGAACTGCACCCAGCTGAGACATACAGGAAGTAGGAATAACTGCCAAGGAATTTCCACTGATATGTTGCCTTGTTATCGCCATGAATGTTCAGGTAGTCTATTAGATAGATGTTTACATATTTCTCAGTAAAACTCCGTCTTAATTGCATTCATGATCAAGCCATCATCAATTCAGCTGTGAACGATATTGTGAACAAAACTGCAATATTGACAACTAGCATTAAATTGTCAGTTGAGGAAAGTAACATGGTTATTTAATGAAAACTTTATAATGCACAATCAGTGAACCCAACCATGTTAAATCCATCCATGTTAAATCCATCCTTCTTACATGTATGTAGTATTATATCCATTGTTTCAGCTAGCTGTACTTACAGTCACACTTGTCATCTACTATATAGTGTTTTTCATTACTTCTCATTCCAGCACCTAACTTTGGACCCTATTTTGATAAATTTCCATTGGCATTGGTAATTGGCATACCCTGCTTATCCACACTCATCTTGTGCATCAGAAGAGTTATATGCAGCATAAAAAATTCAAAACAAAGTCATACTAAAAAGAAAATAGCTTTCAACTGTATCAACTGTTGCAATAAAAATGATGAGCAACAGTTTACAGAAAGTGCCACATGTGGACAGGACATACAGCCATACTCAATATTTTTTTCTGTTCCAACTGAAAATGTTTCATTGACCAACCAATCACAGGATTTGTGTCAACCTGATTGTGATTTGTCTCACAACACTCATTGCACTATAAACTTGCATCCTGAACCTAGAAAAGAAACTTGGACTTGTCAGACATTGGTTCCACCAGTGAGCAGCTTTCCAGAACATTCAATTAATAATACATTTTCTTATCCACTATCATGTGCGGAGTCATCTGATGAAGAGACAACAGGTGGATATGCAATGGCAGACTTGGACATCAGCTGTCCTTTAAATACAAAAAGCAAAGGTCTAAAACAATACCCAAGATACAGCCGAACTGAAAATGAAGTCTCCAATTTGTCTTCTGATGAAGAGACAACAGGTGGATATGCAATGTCAGACTTAGATGTTAGTCATCCTTTGAATACTGGAAGGAAAGGCACCAAACCATGTCTTAATACTAGGGATAGATATTACCAAACAAAAAATGATGAAGTTTCTACTTTGTCATCTGATGAAGAGACATCAGGGGGATATGCAATGGCAGACTTGGACATCAGCAATCCTTTGAATACAAAAAGCAAAGGTGCTAAACTTTACCTTAAAAGATACACCCAAATGGAAAATAAAGTGTCCAATTTGTCTTCTGATGAAGAAACAACAGGTGGGTATGCAATGGCAGACTTGGACATCAGTCCTTTGAATACAGGAAGCAAAGGTGTTAAACAGTACACCCTTACAAAAAATGAAATGTCTTATTTGTCACCCAATGAAGAGACAACAGGTGGATATGCAACTTCAGACTCTGGCATCAACAGTCCCTCGAATATGGAAAAAGAATATGGAGAATATATCCATACAGGCAGTTACCCTCTTTCATCAAGGCAAGATTGTGTTAAACACTGTATGCATCCTACTTCGTGTTATATCTTAGTACCTGTGCCTGCACCATCACGTTTAGATTCTGTGTTGACAGGTCAAAATAGCAATGACATGTTATTAGACTACACAACCACCCAACCTGACAAAGGCAAAATTCCCAGAAATAAAGTTGAAAATAAGAAATATGAACAGTTGCAAAAAACAGAGAGTGAGTCCGCATTGGAGCCCTACACTCCACTTCTGATCTCTGAGCAGACACTGCCCAAGGTTTTGTAACACATAAATCTTTTAATTCTTCTTGACAAAAATTGAAGATATCTGCTGTGGTGAAGGACACTGACAGTGAAATTGAGAGCAAAAAAAAAGAACTGTTTCTTCTTTATTGTGCATTGATCCAATGCTATATATATATATATATATATATATATATATATATATATATATATATATATATATATATCTTTTTGTGAATACCCTTAGCAAAATATCAGGCCTGCTGCAAATTCACAGCAAGTTTGCTGCAATATTGCTGCAGACTGCAATTCCTTCTTGCAAAATTTACAGCAAGTTTGCTGCAATATGGCTGCAAACTTTTCATTTTGCTAAGGGTATATGTAATATATATATATATGGTAGATAGTTAAGTGTTGTTTGTTATTTGGGCAACATTTATAAGATATTTCATGATATTTGTTTTTTATGTACAGACACAGATGTGTCTGTACATATTGCCATCACCTGCGTCTGTCGTCGCCGTCGCCGATCATGTCGNTTAAAGATATGTTTGTGTCCATTGGATTCAAGAAAGAGGTATGCCTCTGTATATATAATGTGTTGGATTTTTGGAAAAATATCCTCCAGCTGTTACTTTGTATAAGATTAAAATATTTGTGTATTTGGGATTTAAGTCCAGCTGTTAAAACTGCCATAGGCAAATCTCAGTTACTAAATGTTAACACATAATTTTTTCTATATAAGTAAATGGCAAGTTTTTTTTTTTAATGTTCACCCTCTTTGTAACTTGAGATACCTATCACCTACACTTCGTAATCAAAGTAATATAAAGTGACTCAAAAGCTTTCTTCCTTCCTTGATTTTTCTTATTAAATTAACTATCCTCAAATAAACTGCCTGGATGTTTAATAGAAGTTATTGGACTCCTTTAAACTTATCTCTTATACAAAATAGCAACCCATTCTTTTATTCTAACCTAGTCATGCTTCCTTACCCTATTCAAGTGGGCATGTTATTGCTCTGTAGTCAAGTAAGAAAAACATTTCATTTCCCTTTGGTGCAACCCATCAACCAGGAAGTTCTCACATCACTTCAAATCATTATGATTCCCTTTTTCCTGAGAGTCATCTGTGTACATTATCACTCCTTGTACATGTGTTAGCATTTTTCTACTTTAGCAGTTTGCTCATATTATTTAGTTGCTTTCTTTTTTGACAGACCATGTTAATATGACAGAGATGAAAAATCACTTTTCCATATTGATGTTTGTTTTTTGGTATTCTGAACATGTGAAAACATATTTACCTTTTGAAACCTGTTGGTGAGAAAAATGTGACTTATTCCAACAACTTGTGCATCACATCTCTGTCATGTTTTCTGGACTTGTGTGTACTTTTTATTTATAAGTGTAGTGATGTATTTATTTGCTTTGTGATAATGCCAGGCAATACATTGTAAATGGGTCTTGATAGCAGACTGTTTTATACAGCTAGTCCTTAACACTTGCAGTGTTGGCTTTTAACTCACCTCTTACCACTGTCTGTTTATATTCACTCTCCTTATTCATATTTAACACACACACACTCAACGAATCATTTGAAAGTACATGCTCTGTACAATTCAAACATATTATTTGAAAAACTTATCCATTTTTGATGATTTTCTTATCAACTCAGGAACCCGTCCATAGATATGTATACTCTAGAATACCAGTAAGTATTAATGGTAGTGTCACTTTATGTATAGTGTCACATATATGAAACCACACCACTGTCACTTTATTGCCTTGTAAGAAATCTGGTAGAATATACTGCATACACACTAGTTTTGCACTAAATGTTACATAATTGATCACAACACCAAATATTGTTGACACAATGCCCAACCAGCACCATGTGATAGCTGATATATACCATGTGATATGTGTAGTTGTCATGTATTAATGTTATAATACCATATTGGAGCTTGTCTAGACGATAAGGTGATAACACATTGCCATGATAAAAAACAAGTACAGCCAAACTTTTGTGCCAGATGTGGAAGAATTATAGTAAAATGGTAGAAAATTGTGATCAGAGCTTTAAGACTGCCGAGTCAGCAAAGTGTGTTTGTTGTAGGCAGGAGTAAGGCAAGAGTGGATGCCATGTGCAGATGCACATATATGAGTATATATTCTTTCCCTATTTATACATATGAGTTGATATGATTGTGGTAAGTGTGATGGTAAGAGTTAAGATTGTGTTGGATGTGGCAGCAAGTCTTAGACCTAAGTTCCATACTGGACTTTTAAGTATTACTATTTAATTCTTATGAAAATGGAAACATCAGAACATTCTCAATTAAACATAAAGAGTTATAGTATGTTATAATACTAGACCAGTTGCTACATATATTTAAATATATGAATATCTTCTAGTGAAGACTTTCCTAAGCTGTGTCCTATGTCTGTTTGATACAACAGTGTCTTTTAATAGCAGCTAGAATTGGAATTACTTTTTGGGCTCCAAAAATTTAGTGCCCATTAAGTCACTTTAACCAGAGAATGTTTAGCACTTTGTCTCCTTCACTCATTGGTCTGAGATAGCCTGACTTGATGTTTTGGAGAATTTTAGAGGCAATTTTTTGCCACTAAATAGCTTATAGACTAAAAGCAGCATGAATTTGTGATAGAAAAATTCATTACATTTAAAAGAACATTTTCTCTGCCTTGATTTAAGATAGGATTATGCCTGTCATAATGTACTTGGTTGAACTTAGTGGTATTTTAGTAAAAAATTACATGACTCAATGTTCATAATTGAAAATTAAAGGAAACCTTTTGATTAAAAGATCAGTAAAATTTGTGATGGATTGTCATTAAATTTAAAAAAAAATGTTGTCCCATGTTTCAGAACGCAGAAGAGGAACCCTTGTCATCTCAGTCAGTAAACAATGTTGATAATCTGCCTCAGGAGCATGCTGAACACGAACCCATTTCTTTGCTGGGGGCCTTGAAAGTACCTGTAAGTACTGAGGAAGTTTGCCGGAACCTGTAACAGACCTTGTTAACAAAAGTGTCATTTGAGGATTGGAGCTGAAAATTAGTGACTTTGATGACCAAATTAATGGCTTTTTTTTTTTTTTGGGGGGGGGGGGGGCATTCACAACCAAAGTTGATCCATGGACTAACAGATCCACGGATGAAATATGGCAGGCCCACTTGAAAGCTTACTGCATAATCCCTGTGAAGAATCTCTTCAGTGTCTATTTAGTGATTATGGGACAAGCTTTCAAGTAAGTCTGAATGAGGCCTTAGTAAATCAATGGCAGATGATTATAAGGTTGGCAAAAATTTACCTTTTTTCTGCAACCTTTACTTTTCTTCTAGATTTTGTTTCTGCTGGTTTTATAACAAGAAAATTACCTCTGTCATTTCTTGCTGGATAAAATAGATTTTAATTGAGCTTAAAACCCTCAGAAGGAAGTTAATTTTGAAACTCGTTGTTGATAACAGTAGTACATTTGATACATTTACTGATATTTTGTTAAATGATGTTCAAATTTATGTTTTCTTCCAGGGTGTAGTAGAATTTTCTCTGTGTTTGTTTTTTGCCAAACTGGTCAGTTACACCTTCCTGTTCTGGCTACCAAAATACATCAAAGCTACCAGTAAGTTGCCTTTGATCTCAATTTTAAAATACATCTTTCTTTTTAGGATTAAATAAATTTTAAGAGGTGAAGGGTAGGGAGTCTACATCATTTGCATATCATGGAGACTGCTTACTTAGCCCTTTAATTTAAAATTATCTCATTTGCCTTGTATAAAATGTTTCTGATTAAAAGAAGTTAAATAGGACATAAAGATTGATTTGTTTGTATTATTAGTAACATTAACTTTTATCTTTTAGCTTCTCTATCTTCTGAACAATCTGGTGATTTGTCTACTGTCTTTGACTTTGGGGGCATTTTTGGTAAGTGTACCTTCTGGTGCCAGACATAACTACTAAAATAACATTTCTGTATGGAACTTCCAGTGTGTGTGCATGCATGCATGTGAGCACATGCTTGAGCACATTTGTATATTTAAATTTGTATGTGTATGTCATAAATAAATATCAATGCTGGAACTAACTGTGACTCAGTTTTGCAAGGTAAATTTCAGATATAGTAAGTGTTGTATGGGTATACATATGGTTGATATTCTGGGTGGAATAATAGCAGGTGTTATATATGAGTTATGGTTGATATTTCAGGTGGTATAATAGCAGGTGTTATATATGAGTTATGGTTGATATTTCAGGTGGTATAATAGCAGTTGTTATATATGAGTTATGGTTGATATTTCAGGTGGTATAATAGCAGTTGTTATATATGAGTTATGGTTGATATTTCAGGTGGTATAATAGCAGTTGTTATATATGAGTTATGGTTGATATTTCAGGTGGTATAATAGCAGGTGTTATATATGAGTTATGGTTGATATTTCAGGTGGTATAATAGCAGTTGTTATATATGAGTTATGGTTGATATTTCAGGTGGTATAATAGCAGGTGTTATATATGAGTTATGGTTGATATTTCAGGTGGTATAATAGCAGTTGTTATATATGAGTTATGGTTGATATTTCAGGTGGTATAATAGCAGGTGTTATATATGAGTTATGGTTGATATTTCAGGTGGTATAATAGCAGTTGTTATATATGAGTTATGGTTGATATTTCAGGTGGTATAATAGCAGGTGTTATATATGAGTTATGGTTGATATTTCAGGTGGTATAATAGCAGTTGTTATATATGAGTTATGGTTGATATTTCAGGTGGTATAATAGCAGGTGTTATATATGAGTTATGGTTGATATTTCAGGTGGTATAATAGCAGTTGTTATATATGAGTTATGGTTGATATTTCAGGTGGTATAATAGCAGGTGTTATATATGAGTTATGGTTGATATTTCAGGTGGTATAATAGCAGTTGTTATATATGAGTTATGGTTGATATTTCAGGTGGTATAATAGCAGTTGTTATATATGAGTTATGGTTGATATTTCAGGTGGTATAATAGCAGTTGTTATATATGAGTTATGGTTGATATTTCAGGTGGTATAATAGCAGGTGTTATATCTGACATTACTGGAGGGAGAGCAACTGTTTGTCTAGTCATGCTGATTATTGCAGCACCAGTGGTGAGTTTATTAAAGATTGATACAAAGCACAACATCAGAACACAACACAACATAATCTGCTGCCTCATAAAAATAAGAATGATAAAAAGATATGCCACAAAAAAGTTTTGTTAATGATTGACAGAAACCAGATCAATACATATTTTGTAACTGTTGAGAGAAAATGAAAAACAAATGTAGATAGTAATTTTTACACATTTATTTGCTCATTCATGTATATAAATAATTATATATGGTTCATGCTGGTATGTGCCCAAAAATTTTTACTGCAAGAATAAATTTAGGAGATTTATGTTTCTTAAATAAATGCATTACTTTTCAGTTATTCATTTACAATGCATATGGGACAGTGACCTGGGCTTTCAACATATGTAAGTGAAAATTGAATAATTTTGTATATCCTTTTATGAAAAATTGTAAAATTATTAATTTACACACCCAAATATATTTGTACAAAAATTATTCTGATCAAGAAAAAACCTGTTCTGTTCCAACTGAAAATACAATATCTTTAGTTCTTAAAAGAAGGTAAATAAAGAGGGTATTTCTTGAAAATGATTTATCAGTCAGGTCTATATATAATTTTGTCTTATTAATAAACTAAATGCAGTTTCACTTACCTTTCAGTCCTCTTATTTACCTGTGGTTTCTTTGTCAATGGTCCTTATGCCCTGATAACAACTGCAGTGTCAGCAGACCTGGGCACTCACAAGAGTCTGAAGGGGAATGCCAAAGCTCTGGCCACTGTCACAGCTATTATAGACGGAACTGGGTCTATGGGTGAGTTACCATGGTCATGTACTACTGTCTTGTTATAATAGGTAGAACTGGGTCTATGGGTGAGTTACCATGGTCATATACTACTGTCTTGTTATAATAGGTGAGTTACTATGATGGCAGTAAGAAATTGCCATCTTGGCTATAGTAGGTGGGACTGGGTCTGTGAATGAGTTACACCAATGATTGAGTTATTGTCAGTATTAAAAATTATAGTATTTTGTTTTGAATGAATTATAAATTGTAAAATCACGATAATTTATTGCTGGAATATGAATTGATAAAAGTGGGAAAAAAACATTGATCAGAATTTGATTTTCTCCTTTCCGTCTTTCTTCAGGCGCTGCACTTGGTCCTCTACTCACAGGTCTTATCACTCAGGGAGAAAGGAAAGACGCCTGGAAGGATGTTTTCTATATGCTCATTGCTGCTGATGTGGCTGCTCTACTGGTGAGTGCCTACATAATACTAAAAGATTCCAAGAAAGTGAACTTCAGTGTGTGGAAAGTGTCCAAACAGTGCTCTGGAATAGTCTGTGCTGTAGTCGTAGGGGTAGTGGTGGCGCTCTCTTCCTTGAGGATAATCAGGACTATATCTGAATAATGTGTGGCTTAATGGTGCTCTGTAGCAGCTAGATATGGGGGTTACATTTTTGTTGTTTTTAAATTTTAAACTGAGAGAACTGATCAAAGTAGGGGTTATATTTAGTCAGGTACTGCTGTATTTATTTATGCATAAGACCTGCATTTATATATATATATATTATGTAGACTAGGAGTATAACTATCTCTGACAGACAAAACATTACCTATCATAGTATTTTTGCATAATGTTATTTGTGTTGAAAACTGATTGTCCAGCTGTTCTAAATGTCCTCTATTTATATGTGTTCAACCTGTTTAATGGTCATCGGAGGTGGGGCTAACAGTATTTTAATGTTTATATATCATACTGTGTAACAAGTCTGATCATGGCTAGTATCCTTGAGGCATACAAATTATAAAATGAGTGCTGTGAGTCTGAAACAAAAATTTGGTATTCTTGAGCAATCAAAAATAATGTTAACAATAAAGCTTCAATGATACTGGCCTGTGTTGTATTTAACCCCTGTATTTGTGGTAGGATTGAAGCAACATGCTACATGCATGCATGTTTGATGTGGGTAAAAAAAAAAAAAAAAACTTGCCTTTTTTAAAATGCTTATGGCAATCTCTGTTACAAGTGCTATGACTAAAGGATATATGATCTTCAGTAAGTAGTACATTTATTAACACCTAGTGAGTCTGTGATAATTTCATGTTTGTAGGTTTACTGGTTTAAATGAGTTTTCAATCTCAGACCTGCTTGGTTGATATACCTGTACAAAGGGAAGATCATTTTACTTACGTATAGATTTATATCTTGTTGTTGTTGAATCTCAAACCTAAATGAATATTTGAATAACTTTTTGTTTATTGCATCAGATAGTATATTTTCTCATATTTTACTTGTTGATATGCATTTCGAGTATATGTTAACATCCATTTATGGAGGTTCATTATGGTCTCAAAAGTTTGAGGTAAGGTATAGTATGTATACTTATATATGAATAAAAAAAAAGCAGACAGTTTATATGCAGAGTAATAATTCAGATGGATAAAGTATCAAATCTGTATAAAAGTTTGACTTTGTATCTTCAACAGCATTCCAAAAGAGCAACTTTGTGATGGTATATTTATTTATTAAAAGGTTTTTGGATTGTTGAAGTTATTGCTGATTCTGTAACTTAAAAAGTTTTGATACTTTTTTGTACAAATAATAAGATCTCTTCATATACATTTGTTGCAACTTAAGATTTGAAGGTAATTTTCAAAATCGCTTTATCTCTTTTTCTAAGCAACATGTATTTATGTGGTGAAATTGGTTGGTCCCCTTCCCCTATTTTTTATCACTGCCAAAACCACTAACTGATAGAGTTCAGTGACAGCCATCTTTGATTTTGCAGCCATATTAGTAAATGACACATGTCCTGGTATGCAGTACCTTTGATTATGCCCCAATGTTTGACTGTGCCATATTGGTGCTTGAGTATGTAAAAGCATGTTTTGTTCATCATACATTATGCCCTCACAGGGAAAGTTGTGTATTTGTTGGGTCTTGCAATGGTATTTAGTTAGGTTTTACATGTAGGTGCTAGATTGTTCATTGAATAGGGATTTTGAAATCTGTGTTGTATATTAATATAAACTAAGGGTATGTCTAGCCTAGTCCAGGGCACACACATTACATGCATACACACAACACACACATAAACTTATCATTGGGGAAACATATAATAATAATAATAATAATAATAATAATAATAATAATAATAATAATAATAATATACACGTATGTCTGTTAAGAATATTGCAATATATTCAATGCAATAAGTGGGGGATATTATTTTGTTAATTTTGTTTAAGTTTTGTTTATGGTTTTTCATTAAATTTTATGCATATGTATCGATCAAGACATTTATAAGTGATTTCTGGCAACGATTTCTGATACCTGCTCGGAGCAATAAATTGGATAATTAAACCATACAATATTCTGACTTTGTTCTTTTTTCTTCTTCCTTTAGCTCCTCTTTCGGCTTGTATATAGAGAATTCAGTGGTTGGTGTCGACGTAGGGAAGTGGAGTTATGATCGAACATCCTGACCTTGGATGACCTTGAATGAAGATGAATGCAGTAAATGGTGACCTCTACCTTTAATATCACTTTCAAGGTGCAATCATTATTGAATATCTCCCTGGCATTCAACAATCAGAGAGTTTTTCCTCTAACCTCAGACATTTCTGTCTCACTGTAATTTGTCAATTTTTTTTTCAACCACAAAATCATCTGCTAAGTGTTTTATTTGTGGATTTGAAGCGATTGTGGTTTTTATTCACATGAACCAAACTAAAAGGTGGTTTTATTCAATATTGTTTAAGCGATTTAGACAAGACAAAAATATTAAAATGTAGAGTAATGAAATCTGAAGTATATTGATAGCCCCCTTCCTCACCCCCACCCCTCCCCAAAAGTTCTTAAAAATAAAGTTAATTGATCAGTGACAGAGAAAAGACATTACTACAAAGGCAGTGTTCAAAATTTTTTAATCTTACTTTCTAAAATTGTGATATTTTTTTAAATTCAAATGAACTAGTTTCTCATTTGGGGGTAGAGTTTCTTAGGTCACAGCAATAAGTGGAAATGAGCCATTTTTATTTTAAATTGTAGATTACAAGCAGGTCTAGAAGGAATTTACTTTACATATTTTGTGTTTTAGTGTGTTTTTATCTTTTTTTTAAAGATATTTAACCATTTTATCAAAAAATAATTCACCCTTTTAACCTAGATCACAGCATTGAAATATTTGAACAAGTGAAACACATTCACCCCATTTCCATAGATTAGATCGACCTACTTTAGATCGACCTAACTCCCTGGGGGTTCACGCTAAATAGCTGTCAGCTGGGCGGACACGAAAGTTAATTACCCCCTTAAAGCTTGTAGTAGGCAGGACGGACATTTAAGTCGGATTATCTGAAAGTAATCTAGTGAGACTCCCCGCGGGGATAGATCGATCTAAAATCTATGGGAATAGAGCCATTGTTAAAGTTAAGCTGCAAAGAATGATTCTCATGTAAAAATATTATTAAATTTTATGGTTTATGAACATGATTATTTTGTTCAATGAGATATCGTTCTCCACACACATACACATATATGTTTATAAGCAATATTTTAAACAGAACTATAGAGGTAATGTGGGGTTAATGAACAGTGGTAATGTGGGGTTAATGAACAGATAACGGATTGCAAATGCCAGCCAGGTGATTATTTTAAATGACATCTATTTTTACAGGCTATCATTAGCTTCTTTTGTGAAATTTATACAGTAACCAACTTAATTTCCAACTTAATTTTTATGGTGTTTTTTCACACAATACTGAAATTGAAGGTCTCCAAAATTTTCTGTGAATTATGATACATTTGTCTTCTTTTCTTAGACAAGAAGGTGCAAATAATTTTCAGTCCTATTGTAAGGTATATGAATGAAAACTATAAATGTTTTCCTTGGATGAAGAAAATCTGAATATGAGAAAAACATTTGATAATCCGTATTTGACTCTTCACTGGTGCATTTGCACTACCAGTCATCATTTAATGGACAGATTGTTTGACATTTTGGAACTAATTTCAAATACCATTTTATGAGTTATGATTGTTATATAATAGTAATTTTGCTTCAAATAATCTCTGGCTAATTATTAATGCGCCCCAGCCATTCCTGTACAATTTAAGCTAATTCAAGCATCTTGGTCAAAAACTTCATCAGAGTTGGCAAGTTCATTTCACATTCCAAGAAAATGCCACCACTCCACAATGATGTAATATATTTTCTATGCCTTTATACACAAGGAGTGGTTTACTAGCAGGTGGAGACTGCATTGTGATACATATAGTAGATACACCATGGCTGGATGAGAAGTATTACTCCAACCAATACCACAACAGATGAGGAGAACAAAAGATCCCTGCAGTTAGCATCAATGCATAGCGTGCACGTTTGCAAACCACGCCATGTCTTGTTCTTATTTTCTCAACACTCGTCATGAAATAAATATTATGTATATACCATTACACAACTTGGTTCAAATCTGGGAAGTACAATTCTGGATGTATAGTTTTTTTTTTTTCTTTTCTTAGGGTAATGACACTGGGTGGTATTTTAAAACTGAAATCTTAAGATGCTGACATTCAGATGTTGAAATTCGTCCTTCCTAAACCAAGTTTAGTTCTTAGGTTTGTAGAAGATAATGACACTATCTGTAATATTTTACTTTGTTGTGTGTTGTGGAGTTTTTTCCTCTTTTATAATAATTGTTATTCAATTTTTTTAAGGGGATGAAGTGTAATTCTTAATATTATATTCTAATGTAAACCTGAACAAACATTCAGAAGATTGCCATTGGCAGTGTCAAGTCTCTTGCTGTTATGTTTTGCCATACATTAGCAAGGTTGCTTTTTTAAAGTCCTGTATAGTATAGATTGGAAAAATTTAGTTTTATTGCATACTGTTATCCAATGTAGATAGTTAAAAGTTACAATTATGATATTTGTATCTCCTGACAACTTCACCTCAAGTGTTGATTCATCAGGGCTGGAAAGGTACCACAAACTTGACAAAAATAATTCCAACTTACAGCTTGTTTTCCATTTCATTTTATATACAGTTTACCTCCTCTTCTGGAGTTGTTAGCAGACTTGTTAACAAGAAAGGTTAACACATTGAACAAAGTTTCATAGTATGTGATAGTTAAAATAAGGTGACATGGTTTCATATAATTTTGAGTGAAGATAATAAATTAAATTAAATAGATCATTGAAAATTTTGTTGTGTGAGTTTATCCCCAATAGAAGTTTTCAGAACATAGTTGTCATGACCAAACTTTCCCAGGTCCAGACAAGAGAGGGGGGGGGGGGGGCATTTTTTGTGGCATCAACACTTTATCTTGACGGAGACCATTAGGATCGATTAAAAATTCTCAGACTTGTGTAATTCTTTGTGAAAAACTCCCAAGGATCAATTTATTTGGATATAGTATGTCCATTTTTAATAGTAATCATCTTTGTTGGATTAAATCAGCATTTAGGGACTTACTTTTTTCTTTCTTTTTTTTCATTTTAATAGAAGATGATCATTTTCAGTCCTGGTGGAAAGTGTTAAAAGTAATCATCTTTGTTGAATTTAATAAGCATTTGTGGACTTTTTATTTTTATCTTTTCATTTTAATAGATGATCATTTTCAATCCTCGTGGAAAGTGACAAAGGTTCCTTTTGCTGTTAGCCCAAAACTTGCAGCAATATTGACTAATGTTTATTAAATAAACCAAAAACCCATGTTATATATAATATTTCAGGGGCCTAAGGTTTGATAAAAGTTGGATAATTAGTGGCATACCTGACTGGTAGGGACTTCAGAATTTGTGTGGCAGTTTGTGTTTATATTTTTGTGCCTGGAAGGGTTGCATTCAAGCACTTCACAGTGGAAATATAGAAAGTAGTTTATGTGAAGAAATTACACCATCTTTTTAAACATGGCAATTTAGGAAATATTCCACTGAAAAAATTTAAAAGATACCTCAGATTTTTGAAATAAAGCAAGGCAAGTTGCACGTGTTCTCGCTTCCTCCTGGCATCCCTCCTTAATTATTAGTGGAGGACCTGGTCACAGATGTGGCCAGTGCTAATAAAAATGGTAATTTCAGAAGAAGCATTTCATCAAAAAACAAAGTCAAATTTTTGCTCATAAAATACAACTTTACTACACAATACTTTGTACAACTTATGTACACTGCTGCTAACAGAAAGTCTACCCAATCACATTTGCAGTGAGAACAAGTCATATGCTCTTCAACAGTTTTTTCTTTGTTATCCCTAGTTCACATCTTGACAATAAATACCTTTTTTTTGCATGCTTAAAATGTACATACACTGTCACAGCTTCTAAATTTTTAAAAAATATATCATAAACAGATCCCCACAAATTCAATTTTTTATTAATGAAATTATCAACCCTTGATTGACTTTTTTAATCAAATGACCTTCCTGTACTAGAACACCTGATTCACCTCTGGCAAGATATTTTCATTTTGAAATTTGTATGATTCCATGCTGAATCAAAATCCATGACAATAATGATAATAAGTTACAGAATGCTACACAACTCGGGCAAAAAACATTCATTACTACCAAATTCAAGTCGCTGTACAACATAGGAACTGTTTTCCAACATGCAGCTTTTTTCATCTGATATAAACATTATATCAGGGACTGGGTTAGAAAAAAAATACACCTGAAATTGGGGAAAAAATAACCCTTAAGACTCACATCCCTGTCAAATTCTTGTGAGCTTTGGGGGTAATCTGCAAACCAGTTCACTGGAGGAGGGAACACACGAGATTCTTAATTATTTTTTTTTTTACAATCTCATCTGTAATGTTTTTTTTTTCTTCTTTTAATTGCACTTCTTTGTCTTGGAAACAAAATTACATACCTGAACATAATTATCAACACATTTACATTTTATGCAACTTTTTTCACCTGTGTAATATTGTAGAACAGATAAAGATCCAAAATGTCTTCTAATCACACAAGTTGGGCCTATTTTCACTCTCATGCACTACTGATAAAACGGATCATCAGAACTTCTTGTAATGTCCCAATTATAACAAGCAATCAGCAACAAAATAATAGAACTTCTAGAAAATTCAGCACCAATTGTTTCCCAGAGATTGAAACTCCAATGATAAGACACATTTCAAAGACTCCTCTTTCCCCACATGATGAAGTATGTGAGTCGAGACCTTTTCCAAGGTTTACCGTTCACATGACCTCAGTGCTGCCACATGGTGGTGAAGACCCTAAAAATCGGTTAAGTATACCGACAGGCTTCTTTCTTCGATAAAAAACAGAAGCCTTTGGCAGACAAAAGAAAGTCGACATCCAGCATTCTAGACATCAGACCCTACAAATTGTCAAGATTTTGTGTGGCCACCCTACAAGAATTAAAAAGATTAAAACAATGTAAAAGACTGCAGGTATATGTTTGCAAGGACAT